AGAGGAAGCAAAATAAGGTTTGTAAGGAAAACAATCGTATGAGAAGTAACATGGCCCGGGGGTAAAAATGCACACATATCCAGGAATAAGAAACTCATATTCAAATCAGCATTGCAAATGCAGAATTAAATTGGGATTCAATTCGGAAATCTGTAAACTAGGAAGAGGGATCATCCCATTTTCCTGTGATTGGTTAATAAATTTAATGAAGTTCTTTTGTCAATGACTCTGTTAATGACTGACTTGCATTTGAAAACATACTTCAGCCCTCTCTCCTACTCCTTTCCCCCTGCAAAAAGAAAAAGAACATGAACAGTATGGAAAATGTTCAGGGACCTAGCATTTGTAGAACTCCTTTAGACACAGCAATACTTTTTTATGATATAGGTTGTTAAAGTAGCAAAGGCATCAGGTAAGCACATCAAGTGTTTTATAGTGTGTGTGTGTATAAATATCAACATCAGGCAAAGTGTCTACAGCAATTAAGAACCTGGTTCCAATCAGAACAGAATTCCTTAAAATATTGTCTTTTTTATCACAATTGCCCCTTTGGATGTGAGTGCTGCTCTCAAAAAAAAGTTGCTTACAGAACAAAGAGAAAGAGCAAAAGGGGCTTATTCCAGGATAGTAACCAACTCTAGACCCATGATAGGTAAGGGGTTGAGAGCTTCATAACTTAATCTTCTACTTCTAGATGATGTTAGCAAAATACTTTAAGATCACCAACAAATACTCCCCCATGTTCAGATAATGAGCTATTTCAGCTTAGAGTGACTAGATCTTATGCATCTCTGTATCATCAGCTAGTATATAGTAGGTGCTCATGTGTTGAAGGAAAAAAGCTTCATCTGTCCAAAGATAAATTCTGACTAAAATGGACTAGAATAAAATCTTTATTGGCTCCACATGAAATTACACGAACGTCACTCCCCACCCCTTGCCCATACTTGACAGCCTAACGTTTATGTTGTTCCATTTCTTTAAATATAAATTATTTACACAATAAAAACAATGTCCAACATCAAAAAACACCCTTCTCTAGTTTAGAACTACTGGAACTCGTCACAGAACTCATGTGATTGAACTTTGTGTTAGGGCTTTCACAGATTATTCCATGGAATCTCCCAGTTCTGCATGATGGCTTGCAGTCCCCCGTCTCTATTCAAGGCCCAGAGAGAAGATAGAAATGGATTGAGATAAAAAGGATAGTTTCATCTATGTTCATGTAGTGCCTACATTCCAGACATAAATATGAGACAGAAAGGGCACCTCTGCAACAGATTGAGTCTTTGATCGGAGTTGTTTTTACTTCTCTGAGCTTTGATTTTCTCATCTCTATCTTAGATTCATCCTAGAATCTTTCTTGCTCCCTTTTAGCTCCAATGTTCTTTGATTGGGTTCTAATTTATTTAATAGATGCACAAACTGAAACACTAATGCATTTTGCTGGTCAGTCCTCAGCAAACAAGAAGCCGCAGAATGCTCTATTTCTTATTCTACATCTATTCTTGGGCATAAGCTCCCAGAGAGCTGGGCTCTAAAAAGGCCCAAGTGAAATTCTCATTTTATACTGGAGCAAATGCCTGTGTGTGATTTGGATAATTCCTTTAAGTTTTTATTTAATAATTTAAATGCCACGGAGCATTGTTTACTGACACCGCAGAGTGGAATCCACCTAATGAACTTTATTTTACTGCTGCCTAAGTCTCACCGCCCCCCCCACCCCCCGCAGGAGATTTTATTTTATTGGTCTACGCGCAGCCTGGGCACCAGAATTTTACAAGCTCTTCAGATGATTCTAACCTGAGAAAAAGGGGAGAACTATTGGCAGAGAGCAGCGATTTTCAAACAGGTGAACCAGTCACCTGGAGGGATTGTTAAAACACAGATTGCTGGGTGCTGTACGCAGTTTGATTCAGTAGGTCTGGGGTGAAGCCCAAGAATTTACTTTTCTAACAAGTTCCCCAGTGATACCGATGCTTTTATCCAGACACCACACTTTGAGAGCTGCGGCCAGTGAGAAATATCATTGACAGTGGCACCTGAAGTCCTAAGTTATATCCTGATTCTATCATTACCACCTATGTAATCTTAGGAAAAGTAAATTTTTCTCTTTTCCTTAGTGTCTTTTTAACAATACTTAGATCTCAGAGTTGTGAGTCATGAACAAATAGTGTACCCACCCAGGTTTAGTATACTACGTTGCACAAAATGCAGTAACAAATATTAATTTCCTTTTTCCATTACACATGGCTAGACGGTGTGAATAATTAAGTGAAATCAATAGCACAGATTAAAACTTGGCAGGAAAAGAGAGACAACAGAAGCAAACAATGTCTTACTAAATTCTATGTGTAATATAAGATGATAAATACAGAGAAGTGTTTTAAGTATATTGTCTTAAAATACTTGCACTCAATTTTCAAAACTTTAAACACAGTAATTTAGGTAGCAGGAATATTAGATACAATCTATAACATGAAAGAAGTATTAGATTCCATCTATAAAGATCATGAATTTTTTTAATGACTTAGAGTAAAATCCGATACCACATCTAGGATAATAATTTAGTTTTCTAGAGAATCAGAAATAAAAACTGAATAGTATACTTGCCCAAAACTTTAATCATGGATCTTTAAATGCTCTTTAATTCCAGGGAAAACCTAAATTATTAAAGTGCATAAGAATCCCTATCATTAAACAAAGCAAAACTTCTACCAACGAGGGGATAGGAGTCCTTTTTATTTACATCTACTAACAAACAAAAAAACACTAGATAGCTTTCCCTCCTGCTTGCCATTTGCTTCATTGTGAACGTCTCAAGGTCCTCTCAGAAGTTGATGTCCAAACCCTGAGATGAATCCTGGGAGGGAAGCAGGCCCACGGCAGAAGCTGTTGCACAAGCCTCCAGATGCAGGGAGGGCGGCACGGCTTGGGCCCGCACAGCGGGGCTGGTCAAGGTGAGAACTGGAATACTGTCAGTGTGTCTTTGCTGATCCACAGGTGCAGCCGTCCAAGTGAGGCTCAAAGGTACTGAACACTTCAGGTCTAAAGGCCTAAGCCCTATCAGGATTGTTTAAAGCAAGTTTCTCCCTATACCAATGGTTGGCCCAGAGGCAAGGTCTTACAAGGGTTATTTTTAAAAGCCTCCCCGTCCCACTCTGGCCTGATGCCATTATGCGACAGCTTTCTTTTTTGGAATTCCTGGGGGAAAAAACAATGTGATGGCTGCTGTACATCTCTGTTGCTACTTTTAACTTCTCATCTATTTATGAATTCTCTTAACTAGACTGTGAGCTCCTCAAGGGTCCTTAATTCATCCCCTTCCTCCATGAAACTTTCTCAAGTGTCTTCTCAGCAACTGTTCCCTGTTGCTGTCTGCAATATAAATGTGACATTCTTTGTGAAAGTGTCTTAACAAAGGTGGTGTCCAATCAACAAATGCTTACTGGATTATCCATGCTAAAAACTGGACACAACTGGTTGCCTCAGGGAAAGTCTTCACGCTCATGCTTTCAGGATTATGTAAGGCCTATAGTCTAGATAATATATTTGGAGGATGGAAATGATTTTTTTTAAGCCAGAGAATTAGGCTTGGTTCAGCTCTCCTTAGTGTTTTAAAACCATTGTTTGATATCACACGAACAGAATGGTTTGCACCTCATTAATGTCTTTGGTATTCCTGAGCATCCATTCATCCATATCCTTCTCTCAAGGTTTCCCCATGAAACATCCACCAAACTTCCCCGCCCACTGAAACAAAACAAAACCCCTTTCCTTCCCATTCCCTGCCAGTGTTTAGAGCCTTTCCAAAAAACCTGCAATCCAAACCCTCTCAACTGAATCAGAAGCAGAGCTGATTTCATGCCCATCCTGCCAGAGAGCAGTTCCTTCTCTTAGAATTTGCCTATCACTAGAAACCAAAAAAATGTTAGATGGCCTGAGAGGGTTCAGGTGTCATCTTGGGAGCATTATCCTTTTGTCTTTTAGTGTTTTTTCACTGGGTTGGTCTGGCCTCATCACCAAAGCTCTGACCACAGTCATTCCAGCTGATCCTTTAACAGGACTATGAGGTACCAAAAAAGTCACTGGGGCAGCCCAGAGAACGAGTAAGATTTATCTTTACATCTCAAAGGGTGTGGAACAGATTGACTTGCACAAAGCTGGATTATGGCATTTTACCTCCACTTCAGCATAGCTATTATGAGAAGAAATATTGTTCTAAGATTTTTAATTAGTTGCTTTTTTTTTTTTTAAACGACTCAGATTGGGCTTCCTCTTTCGAGGCTCATTCTCTCACTCCTGCTATATATCAAATTCTTCCATTAGGAACTTCCCTTTTATCAGAAACCTGAAACCACAGAGCAGCTTTCCACTTCTTTAATTCTCCATAAGGCATCACTATTGTACTGTCATGTATGGATATGTGTGTGTGTGTGTGTGTGTGTGCGCGTGCGCGCACGCGCGCACGCATTTGTTTTACAAAAGTCCTGTGTTTGATATAGGCACCCAAGTACGTAGATAGAAATTAAATAAAGGCCACAAAAACTTCCCAAGGAAGATCATTAAGAAGAAAAATCCCCTCTTGCATCACACAGCTGGCCTTTGAGGCATGCCAGCTCAGAAAAAGGTATCACCCGTGCTGATGGAAAGACTGGACCTTTCCCTCTTTGGGTTGTAGCTGAACTTCTATTGGTGATCCTAGCAAAATACATAACTCCCCATTTGTTCTAAGCATGTCTTTTCTTCCAGCTTTCTTTCCAATAATGCCTTCACTCTCCCATTAGATATGAGGATGTGGACATTTGGACAGTGAGGTCCTGCTTGGGTAGCAGTCTCTTTCAGGGACATGTTGGCTATGCAGAGAGAGGGAAGGATATGGGCGAATGGCAGGGGACGAGGGTGAGAGGGAAAGAAAACGTGTCTTCTAGTGGGAGCACTGGAAGAGAGCAAGCTTTTCATAGTTGCTGCCGGTATCTCATGAAGGCCCAGGCTGCCACCATGGTGAGGGCAAACACTGGCACCAGCACCAGAGCTACGGGGATGCCACTCGGCTCCCCTTCGCTTCGATGTCCTATAGGCCCATTCTGCACCTGTAACTGGAAGGGAGAGAAAAACGTTAACTCTAGTGAGCAGTGTGTGTTTATCCCAACTGAAGTGTCCAGGTTGACACATTACCTGGGTCATGCCCACCCAAAGCTGTAACCTCCAAGCGCTATCTAGTAGAAGGAGTCCCTCTCTGTTTGTTCCAAATTGATCCATCAGCGCCATCAACTCTTTGGAAAGAAGTCTGATGGGGAGGCATTTAACCTTGCTGTGCTACTGACCTAAAGGGACCCGAGGGTGAGCAGATAACCTCTTTCTGCTCCTCTACTGCCTCCACCAAGCTCTGTGTGTATCACACTAGGAGAATGAAGACAGGAGATGAAACCTATTGATCCTGTAGGGAACCTCAAAATTACTGGGCAGGGGCAGAGGGTGCCCACCTTCCTAGAAATGTTTACTTAGAAAGATTGCCAGTTCTGAGCAATGTTAACACAGGTACAGTGCCAGTTTTGGAAATACTTCCCAATTCCCAAAAGGCACCAACTCCCTCCTGATATGGTGTCACGGCCTTCATCTCTATTTTGTAACACTAGACATAGACAAAGAGGAAACTTATATGGAACAGAGGTAAAAGACTCAGAGGTAAACAAGTAAAAAGAAATCATATCCTAGTGGTAATAATTTTCCACTGCCTGACAAGCATTCCCTTTTGAGGCTCGGTGGCATTTCTTCAACTTTTTTTTTTTCTTAGCAAGCCAGCGAACGGGGGGCAGGGAGGTGCGGGGGGTGGGGGAAGGGAAAGAGGGAGAAAGAGAATCCTAAGCAGAGTCCATGCCCAGTGTGGACCCTGGGCTCGATCCCACGACCCTGAGATCATGACCTGAGCCGAAACCAAGAGTTGGATGCTTAACTGACTGAGCCACTCAGGCGCCCCTCTTCATATTAATTTTTTTTTAAGATTTTATTTATTTATTTGACAGAGAGAGATGGCGAGAGCAGGAACACAAGCAGGGGAGAGGGAGAGGCAGGCTTCCCGCTGAGCAAGGAGCCCGATGCGGGACTCGACCCCAGGACCCCGGGATCATGACCTGAGCTGACTGGCAGATGCTTAACCATCTGAGCCACCCAGGCGCCCCTCCCCATTTATTTTAATTTGGTTGTCAAGCTTTACATTTAAGGTACATCGCCTGGAAGCTAGGACCTAGTTTGAATTTCCTTTCGTGATAAGCAGAACTCCCTGAAGACCGCTGCTTGTGCCAGACGAGCTTTTCAAAAGAGTGAGAAAGAAAGAAAGAAAGAAAAAAGCCAAATGCACTACTGAGGATTACGCTGTACGCTTCATTCCCAAGGATACAAAAGTGGTGCCCAGCTTGCTGGCTGCAAATAACACCTACTCGGTGCTGCACTCTCAGGGACACAGCATAGCCCGCATTACGAAAAAGGTCTACAGCATCCCGGTGCAGCAAGTTCCTTAGGTCTTGGCCATTTACCTGTTGAAAACAGCAAGAAAAGTAGTAAGAGAGGTAGAATCATAAGTCAAAGATTTATATTCATGTGACTAAACATTTAAAAACTACAGAGCAAATTCCAAGGACTAGGAGAATGGGGCAAGCACCCTAGAACTCAGAGTCACTTTCTCCTAGAACTGAGGTTCCAAGGTTTAGAAAAAAAAAAAAAGGTGTAGTCTCTCCACCTCAGCTCCTGCCGCCTGTCTCATTTTGAAGCTTGGGTTTCTGTTAACTGTACCTGTGTGTCTTCCCTGAGCATCGGCCTGCTTCCTTACAGTAACCTGGTCTTCTGGATTACCACCCTATCCTTTACATTGCTAATCCCTGGCACTGCTAGCTTCAACTCTAGAAATACAACTTTATGAAACTCTAGAAATATAACTCTATGAAACAATTTATTTTGATGTGGTGCAAACCTACTAGCCCCTTCTATTGGTCTTGTTCAATTGTGAACAATTTCCCTTGATTCCATGGACACTCCCATCCTCCACAAATTTACTAATTTTACAGTATTTCTTTGATGATATAAATTCCCAAAAAAATGCTTCAGTGTAGGTCAGTCCTACCATTTAGAGGTGAGAGCTGACCAGTGGTATTAATACTTCTTAGTGTTAGGAATGACACTGTCCACAAGTGATATCTACCCCATGCCATACTCGGTGACACAGCATAGCCCGCTTTATGCAAGATCCACACATCTTTTGTACACGTCAACATCATCAACAGCAATAGCGGCAAGAACACCTCATGTATTTATCTGCTAGGTTCTGTGCTGTATGCTTTCCATACACTGTCTAATGTTGTTGTCACGATAATCCTATGAGGTAGGCACCATTTTTATCTTGTTTTCACAGAGGAAGAAACTGGAGCTTAGCAAGGTAGATAATTTACCCAAAGTCATAGTAAGTGTAGGAGCTAGGGCTAGTGTTTTTAAATATCGGGAGTTAAGTTACAGTGCCCTTGCAATTGACTGTTCCTTCTGCACTATTGTTCTTCTACCTGGACTCACAAACTGTTCTTAGCTGAAGATCAAGCCATCGATTTATTCAAGGCTCTCATCTTCCTTGTTACTGTCTTCCTTCTCCAAGAGGTTCCTATCATTCCTCCACACAATCTCCCACTAGGTGAATTACTCTAACAACACTTTGGTGTTACAGACTGTCTACCTTACTCTTAGAAAACCGACCACGATCTCTACTCCCTTCACACTTCCTATTCCTCTACTGAATCTGCTCATTATCCTCATCAAAACCTTTAATAACCTTTTTAGATTTTACCCGCATCCTTACCCATCTAGGAGTTCTTGCTGTTATTTCAATAACGCATTTCGTAAACTATTAGAATCCCTTGTCCCCATGATCTTCTGCCATCTTTCCAGTCCTGCACAACACACTGCCTTTACTTTCCTTGTCATCACTGAGTTTAATGTTCCTGGGGAAAAATACGCACTCCTACTTCCCAGCACAGATCCATGCTGGCTGACACTTGCTGTATCCTTATGACCATTCTACTCACCTGGTCAACTCCCTAACGAATGCTCAGCAGCAGCTGTTCCAGACCTTTCCTATCATCAAACCCCAACTCTGATCCTCTCTCCTCTCTCCAGATTCCTTTGCCTTATCTTTTTTGAGAATACTGATAACTCCTCACACTCCATGTCCTTTCCTTCCCTTTCAAAGTTTCGTGATAGCCTCTCCCTGCTGCTTTGCCCTTCTTTCTGCATTAGATCCATTTCCTTTACCAAGGCTAAACCACCCACTGGTGCTCTCGGTCACATTCCTTCTAGCCTTCTTAGGGAACTTAAGTGATCAATTGCTCCTCTTGATTCCTTCATTTTTATTGCTCTCTGCTCTTTCTCAACTAAAATTATCCTCCTCTGTAAAGAAAAAAGTATAAATATTTCTTGGAACCCATTAGCAGCCTCTTCCCATCTTCGGCCCTCTTCCTTTCATTGCCAGACTTGTCAAAGAGCTGCTTGAGAGCCCTGCCTCCACATCTTCTGCAGCCGTGCACTCCAGTCCCTGATACGGCCAGCATATACCAGGTAGCAGGCAAGAATATTCTGTCCTGCGGGGCAGCAGTGACTTCCAATCAGCAAGTCCTACAGCCCTTTCCTAGTCGCCAGACCTCCTCCCTTTTGCAGTTCTCTCTGGTCTCAGCTTCTGAAGACTTAGCTCCCTTAGTTCTTGAAGGATTCCTTTCCCAATTCCTCCTCTTCTCCTTCCTTCTTAAGGGAAGTAAGCATTCCTCGATGTCTGTAGTCCTTTGTCCCCGTATTTTCTCTCCCATGGTGATCTTTCACAATTTCAACTGTACTCTGCAAGACAACTCCCCAATTTTTTATCCTTATTTCTACTTCTGGACTTGCCAGTTTCTTGCTGGGTGCCTGTACTGGAATATTCTGCCACACCCCACTTCAACATATCCAAAGCCTCCTTTTGACTTCCCACAAAACCAGACTATCTCGCCTTCCCTCTTATTGCCACAACCGTTCCTTCAGACTAAAATTCTGAGATTTTTCAACTCCACTCCCTGTCGATGTTCACATACAATACCTTATCAAATCCTAAAGCCCTAATATAATACCATTCCTCACACGCTATTTTCCTTCAATTGCCTCTCTCTTTAGGTGGTGAATACTTTTAGATGAACTATTGTGTTCACCTCCTCACTGATTCACTTTCCTCTAGGCCCTCCCCTACTCCATCCTATTCAAATGCCGTCTCCAGATCAAGCCTCCTAAAGGACCATTCTGTTTCTACAAAACTGGGAGCAGGGGAGAAGAGAGTGCATACCTGATTTCTCATTCTGGTGTGCAAAGTCCTCCAGGAAGTGGCTCCAACCCACTTCCTCAATTTAATCTCGCATTATTCTCTTTCATAAAGGGAATTATGAAAAAGGTCTACAGCATCTACATCACATAATTCACTGTCCCTAGGACATAAAACATAGATCCTTACCTTCATGCCTGTGCTCTATTTCCACCATCTGAATACACTCCCTTTTTAAAAATTCTATGTATCTTCCAAGATTAATCTTAAACAGGATCAGCCCTGCTACCTATAGTGTAGGAGTGAATATAGTTTTCTAATTGATAGACTTTGATTTCATGCTACCAAGCCACCTTCTGATTATGCCTTTTGTTTGTTTTGGTAAACATGCCACAGGAAAGAACTTCAGGAGTCCTAGAACCATCACAATGAATTTTCAACATCTCAACTTTCTAGTTAATTCCTGAGGAAGAGAATAGGTGTGAGACTGCTGACGATAGTGGGAAGGCTCACGTAACTCATCTAGCCCACGCGATAACTGTATTTTTCATTGTAAGGAAATAGGTATTTTCTCTTAGAGACAGACAAGTTAGGTTAATGATGCGGTCGTGTCAACAAATGCCAAATATAACAGAGCTCAGTATCAGAGCCACGTTTCATAGTGATAAGAATACAAGTGGGAGAACCGAGTCACTACATCACATTCAATGGCAGGAGTACTGAGTTCAAAATCATCTTTGCAATCACAGTCAACAATAATTGACAGGAATCACTGCATATTTATTACCATGTCTGGAGCTGTCTCTTCATTTTATATGTACTAACTTATTTAGTTTTCACAATAATCCTTTGACTTAGGAACTCCCATTTTATAGATGATAAAACCTGGAAGGTTATTCAACTTGTCCATGGGCATATAGAATGGAAGTAGCAAAGCCAGGATTCAAATAGCCTGGCTGTAAAACCTTCACTTTAAAACACTAAGCCATAGAAATTTACACTGTAAGCAAGGATTTTATTTCAGCAACATATCGCTATCCATCATGTTAATACTGTAAATTGAATTTTTACTGGTTTTGCAGTTTCATTTCTATCTGTTATACACTTTCAAAATTTTAGAGATTTGTATAACAATATAAGGTGTTTATAATATTTTTATTCATGTGCATATATTGAAGCAGCATTAAAATTTAGATAAAATTGAGTCAAGTGCCAAGTCGTTGACAAGACCTTTCTAGAGAACTCTGCTAGTTGTGACTGATTTACTTCTTTGAATCTCCATTTTAGTTAACTATCGTAAAGCTCAAAGTGAACTCTACCCTATACTCTATCACTTTACATTCTACTGTAACTAACTTGGAAAGGCTGTATCACAAAACTCATCATTATAACCCCTGTAATATCTGAAGAGTACTTAGAACAACACTTGAGTATAATAAATGTCACATGATTTCCTGAGGTTTGCTTGCAGACTGCACCCCGGAAAAGCCTGACTGACCTATTCTCAACATTTTACCAAGCTGAAAGGCCTGGACTCTGCCAGCAGCCTTGCCTGCCAGTGACTCAGTGTGGAACCTTGGTCCTCACCTGAGCTTCCTTCTGCTCATGGGGAAGAAGGACATTGGTGGTATCAGGCAAAAGAAGGTGCCATACAGGGCGTAAGCCAATTATACCAATCATGCCTTTCAACCCTCCTAGTTAGGTCTAAAGGTATTCTAATATAAAAGGACCGTTAACTCTAATTACTTAAAAAAAAATAAGACCCCAGACAAGAGGCCCTTGAGACAGTCAAGGGGAATTTCTTTTTTAAAGAATCATTTCTTATCCTTTGCTCAAGGTAAAAACAGCCCCATAAAACAAATTATGATTCTTTGTCTCTTGATAAGGTCACCTCTAATCCAAAGCCAAATTAGCTTTCCAATATTTGCCTCCTCTAAGCATTTTCAGATTCTACCTCATACTGACTAACCACCAAGTTCCACAGATTTTACTCTTAAATATATGTGGAATTCACTCTGTCACCTTCCATACTAATATAGAACAGGCGTTCTCAAAGTGTGACCCAGAACAAGTAGCATTAGCATTCACCGGGGAACTTAAAAGTTAAAAGCAATCCATGCTTTCACAAGCCCTCCAAGTGACTCCAAGTGAGTCAATTCTAACCTAAACTGCCTGAACCAATCTTTAACTGGTCTCTACACCCAGCCTACT